GCAAAATGAGCGCTGCGCTCTACAGTCTTCCCAAGGTCTGCACCCCGTGGTCTCCCAGTCTCGCACATCATCACCGTTCATGGTGATCTCGGCCGGTGGCGCCTGATTACCCAATAGTTCACTGGTTTGATTAGGGCATGTGACCCATTTTTGCGTGGGCCTGACGTGCTTCACACTGCGAGACGAATTGAACAATCCGCGCAGGGAAACCCGACTCGGTCAATCTTGTGAGGCCATCCGCTTTGCACACCATCTGTCTAGAACGTCTAGAGCCTCACAGACGTGCTATCCTGCCCACTGGTTTTTGTACACATGATCCCACTCACCCCCTCTATAACCTGGAGGTTCCTCCGAAACGGCGGCCTTTGCTAATTTCCTCTCGAAGAGCTTGACCGGATCGGAGACCATGCATCCGCGAGAGTTCATGATGTTCTTGCCCCAGGCCTGGGCACAAGAGTTAACTTTTGAGGCATGTGCGATCCTTGCACATGCCCACGACGTGGCCTCCGCATGCGCATTTGTGCCACCTTGCGCGAACAGCAAGCAGATTCCAAAGGGAGGGGGTCCCTTGAATTCCAGCTTCAGGCTCGCCTGGCTGTGCATTCACACACTACAAACGTTTGTTGACTTCAAGATGTTGCTGTCCGAGTGTGTTTCGCTTGTGAAACAGAAAAGGGATCGTCCACGAGTTCCGAAAGTAGGCTTTGATCGTTTTCGGCTCCGCCATCGGGTTATCCAATCTTCCTCCACACCTCGGCCCCGCCCCCCGCGTCTACGTCTTTCCCCAAAGCACGCATTTCGGGAAGGATTGTGCTTCCAACTGGGTCTGCAGCTTTTTGAAATATTTTTGAAGTTCGCCACACCTTCGATATGATGCCACCAAGAGTTCGGGAATGCGGTCAAGCCACCAAAACCGAAGGAGGAGACGCCGGAATAGGCTGCATCCTGTCAATGGACGCTGGCAAGGGCGCAATGTTGCAAGGACACTACTCAGTCGCTACCGCCCCGTCCTCGCGCATCGCGACAGATTCAGAAAGAATTTGGCACGGGAAACCCTTAGTTCCAACGAATCTGCATGGATGGAACATGGCGCTAGGACTGCAATCAGAGCTCACCGCCTCCATATCCAAGTGGGGATTCCGCACCTTTCAGGGGGCTCTCTGATCGAAGACTCGACGAAGTGAAACCCAAAAGCAAACTCCGGCCTTCAGGTGCACGTTTGCTGAGCCCTCACAGTTCGAAACCTTGGCATGTCTTAAGCGGAGTTTCGAGACATCTGGCATCTGGCAAAGGGCCAAGTGCCTGCAGACAGCACTTGAAGAAGCCCGCTAAGCCCGCACCTGACGAGACATTGGCATCGGAATCTTTTGCAGCCGGGTGCAATGCTAGTTCTGCTAGCTGCTAGTTCACCAGGGATTCTCCAGTTGCATCTGAGTCGCCACCCTCACCGTGTGCGATGTTGGACTTGGACGACCTTGCGAGCGCGGGATCGCGGGCTCCACAGCTTGCATGACCGTCGTGCAGCTCAGGTAACGTGATCACCAGCGGCTCTTTCCGTGGAGTGGCACTCATGACCTTGCACCATCAACCATAATGCGCATGCAAACGGCTGCTACGACCGGCCTTTCGGAAAGAGCCGACTTCAATCGGATCACCCAGTGCCCTGGGTAAGAAGAGTCAAGTGCGGAGTGGTCTTTTTCAGTTACTGGAGCATCCTGCAGCAGTGTAAGGTCATCACGTGCCAGTTCCGTGGCACTCGATGCAATCAACTTCGGTGGGTGTCAGCTTGCACTCCCGCAGAACGGCTTTGATGCATTTCTCCTGCGGGAGCTGCTGTTGCTGACTGCAGCCCCATGGCCTACGGCCCTGTGGCCTAGGCCCCTATTGCCCCATCATGCCGTGCCTGAGATTTGGTCACACCTTGGGGTCTGGGGAACATGCGGTCGTCCTGAGCCGGCCCGTTCGGAGCAGTCAAGCTCGCGCTTCGACCGTCCTGCCAAGTAAGGGACAGTGCAAGAGACCCCACTAAAGAATGACACGAAAAAACTGGCAAAGCCCCTCCTGGTTTGACTGGCTGCCTGCCAGACAGCAGATCGACCCGGTGGACGGATCGAACTGCTTCAGTTTGAAGCACAACGCACCGCACCTTGAAGTTCGGCACACAGAGATAAGCTTGCAAGAGTCTTCAGTCAGCAACAGCATCGCACGTTTCATGCTGAGTGCGGCGCAGCTCGCCTCTGGCATATCCATCGGCCGTGGAGTTGAACGTGAAACACCTGTGGAACATTTCAAGCAAGGTTGCAGGCATGGCGACCGGAGCTCATACCAGCATATCCCAGCCTGCCATCATGACTCAGCATGCCGGCCGCACAGCAGCCAACAAATGGCCCGGGAAAAAGCATCAAGTTCAGACCTGTCACGGGGTGTCATGGACCATCCACTGTGCTGTCAAGCCGACTTCCACCAAATGCACTCAGCACGCCACCGTTCACAATGCTAGCTGGCATGGGTTCGTAGTCCTTGAAACGCAAGTGCAGCTTGGAGACGTGCGTGCACACCTCGGATCACTAGCTTCTTCCTTCCAACAGCAGGGCTCGCCGGTACGAAGAAACTAAGACACGGACGAGAGAAGATGAACACGCCGTGTCGATGGTCATGCTTGCACCCTCAGCTTCTGAACAAGTAAGCACCAGTAACAGTGAGAACCGCAAGCCTGTCGCACCTTCAAGTTCATGGAGTAAGAAAAGCGATTGGATGTGATGGCATTGGCCGCAGCAGCAGCGCCATGAGCGCCGCCTCCGCAGTCGAGCATTCCGGCAGCACCCATGCCTCAGGACACGGATTCACGGATCACGTGTGGCGATGTGAGACAAACTGTCACACACACACACACACACGCACACCCACGGGCAGAAACACAAAGCCCAAGTCCGAGCTAGGAGGCACATCCAGTCATCCTTGTCGATGCCAACAAAGTGACCGATATGCTGAGCCTCTCGTTGCAAACTCCTGGCGGCGAAAGGATTGCTTCAGCACAAGGCAGATTCGCCGGCGTTCCGTGCCTCTTGTCGTAGCCACCCTCGAGGAGTGCCATGTAGGACACTTCCATGACCTGGAAGGAAGGGGAGGGGGGAAGATTCTGCTGGCTCCGCTCGGATCGGGACCTGGCCTGGCGCTGGCAGGGGTCCATGCCCTTGGCCTCCATGGGCGAAATCTCGAAGAACTTGCAGTCAAAGAGGTCAACTCCCTCGATGCCAAAGCAACCGTGTCGAGTGTAGGAGCCTCCGAACTGCTGGTCGGGATCAAAGTACGGTCCATGATCCCAACGAGTAACCGGCACCTCGGTAAGACCATCGCAAGATGCTTTGGCTGCTGCCTGCCAGAACTGGTGACGCCCATCGGACTGCATGCCGTATCGGCAATACATCGACTCTATAGTGCAGTGCTCGCCCGGTGGTGGAGGAGGACCTGTTGATTGCCCTGTCAGGTTCTCGACGTTGCCTTGAACCTCATCCTCCAGACAATAAATGGCTGGCTCCGCCAGCATGAAGGTCTGTAGTGCCAAGGCTTTCCCAGAAGGACTGTAGCTATACTCATACCGACTGTTGAGCATCACTAGCATGGTGTGTGGGTCAGCTGCAAGGTCAATTTCTTGATCACCTTCCTTCATTGGAAGGAGCTTCAACGATCCACCGGCCGGTCCGACAAATTGAAGAACCGTGAGCCTCCGCCGGTACATGAGATGCATAAAGCCTTCAGCATCCCCATCATCAATGTCAGCAGGCGGATACTTGTCCTCCTCGCCATCGGCAAGTGGCATTCGAAGCAGCATCTCAGTCCTGCTGTAGATTTCAAACCCAAGGTTCTCCTCCGAATACTTGGACAGCATTGAGCAAAGCTGACCGAAGTTGTTGTCCATAGTTTTCAACGGTGACCGCTTGATGAAGTCCGGAGTGTCCGAAGCATCTAGACCAACATGAACTGTCTTAGCATTGCCCTCATCTCCCAAGTAGCCTCTCTCAAACTCAATTGCAAGGCGGCTGAATTGCTCATTGTCGTCGAGTTGCTGAGCCACGGAGACCATTTCTGCAGCATCTTCTTCTGCAACAATGAGCTTCACCAATGCATATCCCTTTGTAGCCAGTGCACGTGTGATTTCCTGCCCCGATATTTCATAGTCGGACTTCGGGCCTAAAACAAAGTCATATTTCTGAACTGCCTCGGATTGTACAGCCTTGATATTGCTCTGCTCGATTGCAATCATTCGTCCAGAGAAGGTCGCTGCGATCCACTTCTTGGCAGCCTGGTCATACTGCACCAGCTGCGCTGACACACCATTTAGGTCGACCGCCTCGACGCCGTCTGCTGCTGCACTCGGCACTGGCTCTGCTTTGCCAGGCAGGCCACTGATTTCTACCAACGTGCCTGGTATCAGCGCCATTGCGAAAGACTCTGCTTCAAAGGCTGTGAGTTGGGAAAACTGTCGTGTGAATGGGAAAAGTTGGGACCATTGATTAGTATTATTGGATTTGAGTTTACGACGGGGGCCCCACCCGGCCTGAGCACAGAGATTTCACGACATGCACTAGATGACTGTCAACGAAACAGAGATCACTACTTGCGCACACTGGAGCGGTGAAGATAGAAGGCAACGATTCACCGTGACCGTTCATTGCATTTTGCTCTCGAACGCAACACCGTCCATCCACCTGCTCACCGCAGTCAGCACAGTGCTGCAGCGTGATGGTCTGTCCCACGTCTGATTTGCTGGTGAAACAGGTCGCCCCGAGCACATGCTTGACCATCTTGACTCAAGCCATCTTGCGAATCTAGGTGGGAGCAGCCACCTCCTTGGCTTGAAACCTAGCACGTTGTTCCTTGCCTTGTAACTTGCACAAGCACCTTTAATGATGGTCTCATGATGTGCTGCAGTGGGTTCAGAAAAACGGCTGAAGCGAAGCAGCAAGTTCCCCCTTGTCTGCCTGCCTGCCTTTGCTTTCTCAACGCCGTTCGGGCCACCAGAAACTGTGACTACCAGCGTGCCGGTCTCTGGAATCTCGCTGATTCTCCGTGATTTCCTTCCTGCGCCTCAATCCTCCCGAGCGCAATGCCTGCACCGCCGGTTGCAGATCCGGCGAGCGGTGCGTTTCCGGCCGCGGAGCCAAGGTCTGACCATTCACAGGCGCGGAGTAGGAAGTGGCGGGCAGGATGCGTGCTTCGGAAGACCGACGTACGTCTTCCACCGCGGCACGAAAGCCAAGGGCGTCACTGTCTGCTTGTGCCTGCAGCTTCGCTTGCCGGGAGACCGAACACAGAAATGAAAACGAAACTCGCATCCACAGGACCTCGCGTCTTGTTGATCTGCGAGGACGGGGCGGGGGCGCACCGGCCACCTAATGGAAGGTGCAGGTCATGGAGACCGAGGACAAAGGCTGCAACACCTCCACGCGAGGTCGCTTTCGACTTGGCGGTGTGGCCTCTCCTGCAGTCAAGGGCGGTGCACATCGGTGCACCCATGCAGCGCAGTGCCCGGCGAGTCGCCTGCTGTTATGGCGAGCGGCGTCGGTCTGGCTTCATCCGTAGACCTGTCGTAGTTCTCAGGGAATGCATCGAAGCATAAGCAGCAAAGCGGCCTTTGCGCTGCACCTCTCAGGATCATGAGATCGCCCTTGAGGGCCCCGATGCTCACCTGAAATACCCTAGCAGTGTTAATGGTCGGTTTCTGCCATGCGCATGCGCACAAGGGAACCGCATTGCAACAATGTCTTACCAAACATACACAGTCGCATGACACAGTTTGCATTCAATGTGGCTTAACTCCTGGTGCATCCTCGGCACCTTCAGCGACTTTGCGATGTTCACAAAGGTTCGGAGCTGAAGCGTGCCTGCCCAGCCTTCAACTTCGACAGGAGCTTACAAACTAATTCTCCAGCCTGGCAATCTGCGGAATGGCCTCGACTTGGAAAGATGACAGACACCTTGGCTCCACAAAGAAGGTTTCGGCACGCAACACAAGCTCTGAGAGGCGTTGCCTTTTTGAAGCCAAGGCAGGGGCCAGGTTAGGTAGACATCCCAACATGTACTGGAAGTCTTGTTTGCTGATGGAGGACATCTCCCTCAGCATGAAAGGACAACACGGAGGGGGCCAGGGAGGCATCTTCGGGACCCGGCAGAGTCGACAGATCTAGATGCTGGATCTGCAGGGCGAATCGCCTTCTCACCGAAAGGCTTGGAAGGGTGAAGCGAAGCAAGCGAAGCTATCGCTACCTGCTATCTCTCTAGGCCTTAGGCTCGACGGCTCTCCTCAAACGACTGGCCATCGCCTTGTCCGCAAGCATTCCTGCAGCATCCTCAACTCGCGATGCTCTCCTCCTGGCAGCACCTGAACAAAGAAGACAACTGGGTGGACATAAGAAAACCTCCGCGGATTAGGGTAGGACTCGTCCACGCTTTGACCTCGCAGTCGTTCGACCGAAGTCGGCAAGCCGGAAATTTGCCAACTGGCCTCGAAGAGATGCAATGGCAAAGCCCTTTTGAGGAAGAAGCTTCAAGTCCAAGTCCATCGCGCTTGGTCGCACCAGCAGATGCACCGTAGGCACGCCGAGAGGTCGTTGTAACTCTGACTAGCTCACAGATGGTGAGCAAGCCAGGATAGAAGGCTCCCTCATGCTTCTCCAGCCTGGCACACGCCACATCTCTGAGCTGCACCTCCCAAAGTCCAAAGACCGACGGCAGCACAAGAGTTCCAGCAATCCTTTCTTCCGCGCAGGGGGTCCTGCATTGGCCGTCTCTTGGGCACAAAGACATGTTGATTCCAGGGAGCCTCGAGATGGCTGAGCATAGGCCACCAAGGCTGAGCAACCTGTCCGAGGCAAAAGATCTTCTCGCGACTGACGCTCAAGGAGGTTCGCGGCCTCCTTCAATCCTGGACACAGTGGCTGGAACCTCGCCGAAAGATACGACTAAGTCGCTTCAGCAGCCTGAAGCCCTATGTAGATTTCTCAGAGCTGGGCATTGGCAGGCTTGTCCTAACATCCACGTCACATCACGGTCTGCCCGTCTTTCGCTACAGTGGCGCCTGCAAGGCCGGAGCTCCGCGGAGTCTTCCAGAGTGGCGAACTATCGCCTAGAGGTGACAAAACGATGCCAGAAAGCTCTCTTGTGCTCGTGGGTCGTGGGCCTCCCGAATAGCGTTTTGCACCTCCGTATCATTTTGCACCCGCTTGCGAAGCTGTTCACGTTGTGGCTTTGACAACGACATGGCCCTGCAGAACCTTGGATACCGTCACCAAAGCAGCGAGAAAGGACCTCAATGGAATCTTCACGGCTGGCTCTCAGGTGCTTGCTTTGCGAAGCCTTTCATCGGGACCTTGCGAGTTCAAAGCGGTGCATCTGCAACATGGCAAGATGATTGCTAGCTGCACTCGTTCTCCGAGTAAGCAGTCCGCAACGCAGCCGTCTACCTCCGCCGCCTCTGCCTACAGACCATATTTAGAACACCAACACGCATGGACTCAGCTGCAAAACCTCAAAGCCGAGCCTGGCTCTCGGGAATCTGGGATCCCAGGGACCCTGTAGCACGCACAGCATCCACAGAATCCTCCGGCTCCGCCTCCTTCACGGAGCAGCAAAAACACATTCACGGAAGTGCGGGTGAAGTCTAGCAAGTTCGACACATTTCGACACGAGGCTTTGGAGTGCCTGAACGCGGCAATTCGAGCGAAGCCCCGATAAAGCTCAGCCTTCTCCCAGAGTTTACACCACGAAGCATTTCTTCGGACCAACTGGAGACAAAGCAGTCGAAAGAGAAACAAGCGAGCAGTTCCAAAGTGTGTCAAGCGAGTCCTTGCCCTGCTGTGCCGTAAGCTCCGCAGCCTGCGTTGCAGCCGGAGCCGGCAGTTCCAGCGGTTCTGGTGCTGGCAGAGCTGGCAGAGCTAGAGGGACAGGCCTCAGCAGTTCGATTCTGGGGTGTCCCATGCCAGGCACAGCTACATCCAGGAACCCGGCTGCCACTGCCGTGCTGCCTCCTGATGTGGTGTGGTGCCGCACAGGAGTCTGCAATATGCGTCCTACTTATTCCCCTCCTCGCGCCGCAGCTGCTCCAAGACGACCAAGACCTCCTGGAGCATCGCGGCCTGCCCGGAGCTCATGCAGGCGAAGGATGCATCATGGACTGTGTCGTGCCTGTCTGGCTTTCTCAAGGCCCTTCTGCCTGCACAGAACAATCAGGAGCTCAGAGTGTAGACTAGACAATTTCGCGCAGCACTTCTTCTCGTAGGTCTTGGCATCCCGAATCTCTTTGCCGATGTCATGTGACCTCAGAGCGCAGGCCGGTGGCTGGAAAAGAAAGCAAGGAACAAAGCTCACTTGCTTGGGACTGGACGATCCGCGCATTTCTAAAAGCTGTTGCAGTCTGTTTCGCAAATGCAATGCCTGCTGCAGCTGCGCTGGTTGGAGAGTTGGAGATGCAACACCATGCCGAGGATGCCGTCTCAAGGCGATGAGTGAAAGGACCATTGAGCACCTTCTTTGCCTGGCCATGCCATGTTGTAGAAACCATTCTGGCAGGTCAGCTAACCATCATCTGGCCTCTCGGATGCTAACCCGGAACTGCAGAACCAATCTAAGTTCCGGGTCGGCATCGTAGGTTTCGTCTAGGGCTTCCTCAGACGACGAATCAGATCCGACCATGTCTGCCAGACTCACGACAACAGCAGAACAAAACCCATGCTGATCGAAAAAATTGTGACAAGCTGATGCAAGCTGCACGGCGTCGTCTCCCACTACGAGCTTCACCCAATGCTGCTTGGAACAACGTCCTTCTGATATACTGTTGCTGTTTCGCACTTTTCAAAATCCGATTGCACACAATAGCCCCACTGTTCCATGGCACAACTTGGAAAAGCTCATCTGGATCTGGCAGCCAAGTCACTCTAAAGGCTTCACGCTCCGAGGGTGCCGAACTGGTTTTCTCGTCGACCTGCAGAACTGGGAGAAGAGGCAAAGAAGGCAAGAAGGCGGCCGCGGCCACGAGGCCGGCCTTCCGCCGGAGCTCGACCTTCAAGTGCGAGTCACCGCTTGCCGGAACTTGCCGAAATTCGTCGTAAGTCGCTGGCGAGGGCGACGTGCCAATCGTGCGCTTTTTCAATGTCGCGTACATTGAAAATTGCACATTGGACTCGTCGGATGGACAGGCCTTGCTGGCGGCGATGTCATGACAGGTTCCAGCTCTTACATCTCAGGCATGGGCTCACTTCCCAAGTGCCTCAGTCGGTCATGCTCATGCTTGCAGGTGAATCGCCTTCGCATTTCCGGCCTTGCTTGGTCCGGTAGAGGCCTCGAACAGCAGGACCTTCAGCAGGCACTGTGGCAGACCTCATTCGGACGATGTGAAAGACAGCACGCAAGCATCAGCTTTTAGCATGGGGCTCTTTGGCAGCGTTGCCGTGAAGGTTCGGCGTCTCCCTTGCACAGCGGCAGCGAAGGCAGCGTCTTGCAGGACTGTCGTCTCTGTCGTGAATTCAAACAGCCGGCCGCGATCTGTGCAAGAGCTTCCGGCAACATTCCAGGACCTGCTCAAGGACTGCCCTGAAAGTGCAAGCCAGAAGCCTGCGCATGCCTGCGCAACGTGTGTCTCCAGTGTGGCTGCCCATGCAGACTCGGGAAGATCCATCATACCCACGACCGTCCTGCGCCGAGGTCATGTGCTCAGGACTCCCCGGGGGTCTTCCCTCTCGCCTGGCAGCCTCCCGCCAAGGTGTGTCGCCCATCCTCAGTTTCTGCTTCGCGAGGGGGCAAGCCCTTCTTTTGTTGGCACATCGCTCAGCGAGGTACAAGACAAGCGGTTCTGAGGATCGGCATTCGGAGCCTGCAGAGCCGCCGGAGATGTGCCATGAAAGATGCAGGTACTTTCGTGCCATGTGACACTATGTGCATGGCCTGTGGCCGAAGCTGTCGTGGAGGTCCAGCTCGGCGCAAGCCGCTCAGCATCTGTTCATTTTCTTGTGCATCTCATCGTGCGGCTGTGCGGTAAGTCGTATCCTTTTGCCTTCTTCTCCAGCTGCCCGAAGTCCGGCATCGTAGTCTGCACGAAGCCTTTGATCGCTAAGCACCTCCGTCGGTCGTGGCATGTCGTGGCCGTTCGGAACCGCAGAAGACCAGAAGCAGAAGCAAATGGCACCTCGAAGGCCTGGCGGACCCGGACGTAGGCATCATGGCTCCCACCCTGAAGACAAAAAGCGCAGTTGAGGCGCCACGCTCGATCTACGGCCTGTCAGACTTTTCGGGTCCTTGTCCGGATGAGTCTGCAGCGCCCTCTGCCGGTATGCTGTACAGACGGCCCGATGGCTCGCTGACCAACTCAAGCCAAGCTCGCCTTGCTAGGAACCGGAACTCGTCGAACGCTGCATGAAAGCTTTGGTGAATTGCATTTGCATTCCGATCATTCCGATCTGAAGTTCCAGGCGGTAGTACGTCATCTCTGACGCGACGCGGAAGCGCGGGCCTCAGCCAGGGCACATCTTTTTCTACCCGACGCACAGACAGGAGGCTCAACTGAGGCTCAACTGAGGCTGAGGCTGAGGCTGAGGCTGACATCATGGATGCCCAGCAGCTGCAGCCCTCTCCCTCCGATTCATCTCAGCTGCGGGGAACTCGAACAAATCTATGCAATCGGCTCAGGATTTGAGACAAGTGCAAAAGCTGGCAAAGTAGTTTCCCCGCTCGCCCAAACTCCGAATAGTCTGCTGCACACCTACATTCCGGATCCGGCCCATTAACAATTCCGTAACAGCGCAGTACGCTGTCAGTGAAACTACACGGAGTGAGATCTGCAGGCCTGCGTTGATCTGCATTGCCCTCACCCCACTCCACGAAGGTCTCACACCTGTAGAGTGACACCTTCCATGACCTGAAGACTGAGACCTTCCTGTCCGGCGTCTCAAGCAGTGCCGTCTTGGCGAAGAACTCCGAGCTGCAGCTCGGGGACGCATGGCCTGTTGAACAGCCGGGGCTCAAGGCTTCAAGGCTTCAATGGCTCTTGCCATCTCTTGCGGGCTTGCAACGGGGCTGGGTTCCCTGCCCTGCTCCCTTTGGGCATGCTTCGGAAGACCTTTCGAAAGCGTCCGTTGCTTTCCGGCTGAGGCATTCATGCCTTATGTCATATGGCTGTTGATCTAAATTGCTTCATCCCGGAATGACCTTCTTCATGAATAAAAAATTAACTGTAGCGCCATCATCGCGGAACTTTCGCGAAGGCCGTAGCAACGGAGGATTGAAAAGCTTTCTTCATGGGGCTATTCCAGTGGTCAGGGCTTCCCAGGAGGTGCCCCTTTCGCCCCTCGCGAAATGCACCAACAATGTCCATTCGGGGGTGGCCTTGATCTGGCTACGTCGACTTCAACGTCACTTACGCGGAACTTACGCGCTAAACCCTGTACTGGAACAGATTTTTTGGGTTTGTCGTTGATAAGATTGTGGTGGGTAGGTATGGCAGGTAGTGGAAGTAAGTGGAGACTAGTAACAGTTGCAGTAGCAGCAGTAGCAGTAGCAGTAGCAGCAGTAGCAGTTGCTGCAGCAGCAGCAGCAGCAGTAGTAATAGCGGTACCACTTGCAGTAGCAAGAGCATGAGAAGTGGTGATAGAGTAATAACAAAAAATAGTAATAGTAGCGATAAGAATAATAGCAACAACAGCAATATTAGCAACACAATAGTAACAATAATGATAGCAATGGTAATAATAGCAATTATCGTAACAATACAATATCAACAATAGTAAAATCAATAGCAACAGTAATAGTAATACTCATAATACTGGTACTAGTACCAGTACTAGTATTAGGTACCAGTACCAGTACTCGTACTAGTAACAGTAACAGTATTCGTAACAGTAGTAGTAATAGTAATCCGCAATAGCAATAGCAATAGTAATAGAAATAGCAATAGTAATGGCAATAGCAATCGCAATCGCAATCGTAATCGTGATCGTAATAGAAATAGTAATAGTAATAGTAATAGCATTAGTCATAGTAATAGTAAGAGCAATAGAAACAGTAACAGTAACAGTACTAGTACTAGTAATAGTAACAGTAGGAGTAATAGTAGAAGTTATAGTAGCAGTAGCAGCAATAGTAACAAGAATACGGCAAGTGGCCAAACAGATAACTTTCGCAGAAAAAACACCTTCAGCGGCACCGTCGCAGAACTTTCGCGAAGGCTTATGTAGCTATGCAGTTGTCGTTTCATATAAATTATGCCACAAGGAGCTTTAGATCAACTACCATCTGTGGCAAAGGCAATGGCAGCACAGCACGCTTCGAAGATGCGCTGGCAATCCCGATTTGAACACCGACGCAATGCTGCACGGATGAAGGAATTGTTACTCCGACACAGCAGACCCACGTCTGGTCATCGTGTCATGTGCTTGGAGCTGTCTTCAGCGGAAAGCCGTTTCACGAGGCCGGAACTGTCTGGACTCCGAGACGGGCCAGTTGTCCGGGTCAGGTCCTCGAAAGGCAAAGCCAGCACGTCGAGCACAATCAGAAGCTCGGCCCACAGCACCGGACGTGGTGACAAGCTGGCTGTGCAATTGCTCGCTGAACTCGATGGCGAATCTGCAAAGTCAGGAACAGACCACTTCAGAGAGCGGGGGCAATGTGGCATTGCCTTGTGGTGCAGCCTTGCTAGCTCCAAAGACCCCAAGCAGCCCTGGCCTTCCGCGTGGCCCTCCCGAGGCTGCTCACAACAAAGCCTCCCGCAACCGCCGCAAGGCCCAAGGCCCAAAAGATTTTGGGCTCCTCCCTGCCATGTCCAAGCTTCAGGCTTTGGCTCGGTCTCCGGTTCCGCATCCTTCGCCTCAGAGGCGGGCGCGCAGGAAGATGAAACGTGCACCCATTGCAGCCGCCACCGCCGTCACCCTGATCCTCGCCTCTGTGAGCCTCTCGACTCTGCTCCTCGCCTGCGGAGAACGAAAATCCCTCCCTCGAGTCAAGAAGCGAAGCTTCAACTGCCTTCGCCAGCTTCTCCCGCATTTGGGAATTGGGGCTTCGCGGCGACGCTCTGCATTCCCGCACGATGAACCCGCAGTCATTGTGGTCGTCACGATTGCCGTCACAACTCTTCGGGTCCTCCGGGTTCGTCTTGGTGGCCTGCTTCGCCTCACTTTTTCCATGGATCCTTTCCTCGAAGACTCTGGCTTTCTGCCAAACAGCCACACCGGTGCTGGACTCTTTGTTCGGCTTGGTATGTGCACTCTGCACGACAGTCTCCTGTTCGACCCTGGCCGACAGCTGCAGCTTTAATCCACGGATTTCCTCTTGGTGATCTTGAAGTGTCTGAATGTCTACGTCTCGCTGGGTCTCCAGGACTTTCAGCTTCGACTCTGCTCGTCGTCGCTCTGTTTCAATGCCGTTGCGTTCTTTCAGAGCACGCTCCAGCCGGCCGACCTCAGCAGACGGCGGTCTTTGCGAAAAGAAATCATGGGCAGCGGGAATGCCGTGGCCGACCTGGACATCGTTTTGCGCCTTCTGGACTCGTGCTTCACGTCCCAACCTTTTCAGTGAAGCGCTTTTCAGCGAAGCAGAAACCACGAGTGGCGAAACTCAGGCTCGATCTCAATCAAGCGCTCGCGAGCAGCGACCAGCTGACAACGAGTCTCTTGGGCCTTTCGCCAATCACAAAGAGACGCGGAAGTGCGCGACGCAAAGCGCGACGCGGTAAGGCCTCGATCTGAAGGTCCCCACATCTCCTCAGGTGGCAGCTCATGCAACTGCACGCAGTCATGCTCAGTAGCCACCCTTCACAGCAAAAGCTGGAGAAATCAGGAGAAGCAAAGTACACGAAAGTTGTAGACAGAACCGGCGGGGCAAGCGCCCCAGCAGCAAGAGACGGCACAGAACCGTTAATACAGCATCCAAACGCTGACGCGCCAGCTACTGTAGCACGGACTTCCAAGGTGGAGGCACAGGTCGACAACTACCGACCAACTTCGTAGTGTCTTCCTTTCTGCACTTGTCACTTCTCTTCCCCCAAGTAGATGAAGTAGTGTGGCCATACATGCAAAGAGCCTTTTCGCAGCTCGCGAAGATTTCACCGCAAAATCTCCTCCCCACTATAACCGACCGTCTCGTGCTGCATGCGTTTGCACGGGACGCCGATTCTGTTGCCGAAATACAAATCTGAGACTTCTTGCACTGTGCCAATTACCGGGCAAGAGTGTCGTGTGCATATGCAAATCGTTCTGCCACCACCGTGCGTTTCCCACCCCCCCGACCACCCCCCCACCTCTACTAGTACCACTACGACTACTACTACTACTACTACCACCACCACCACGACTACTACTACTACTACTACTACTACGACTACTACTACGACTACTACTACTACTACTACTACTACTATCTGTATTACTACTACTACTACTACTACCACCACCACCACCACCACCACCACCACCACCACGGCTACTACTACTACTACTACTACTACTGCTACTGCTACTGCTACTGCTACTGCT